AAATAACCAAAGATTTGAATATTTTTATCAAAATTTAGTTAAGTGCTCTGTATTTTAATTAAAAGATATAATACATTAATCATTTAATAATGTTCTTCGAATGCAAGGTCAACTAGATTTTTTTTTTTTTTTTGGCAATATCCATTCATACGTAAGAAATTACAAAGGGCCCTGAATATTTTTTATTTATTATTATTTTTTTTAAGCCCTAGCAAAACAGCAGTCCAACCGAACATAGATACACATTGTTGCCCTCAAAACATTTTGGTTTGACAAGAGCTCTTTGACCAGCGATCGAGGAACCGTTTCCGATCACCGCTCACTGATGTCAAAACAGAATTTTAGGAGGCCTCCTTCATCATTCATCATGGGTATGGGTTTTATCAGAGGAATGCCCTCACAAGCTCTCCCTGACGACCACAACTTTTCCGTGTCCGTTTACACTCCAGCAGCGCCCTCCTTCACCTACAACCTGTATAAGAAACGCCACCAAAGCAGCCCGCCCAAGCAGAGCAGCAGATAGCCAACTCTAAAGGCTTTCATGACTTACGAACCTAGCTACTTCAACACACATGCACTCAACAATAACCACGTTTATAGTTTAAATTCCAATAAAATTTCCCATGACTGATCCATAGAATAACCTGAAGCCATCTAAGGTTGATGTAGTCCCACCTAATATTAATTTATAAACAATAATTAAAAAAATTGATTAAGTCTTTTAATAAATACATATCTCATAGTCTATTGTCTCGATTGATTAGAACTTCGTACTAATAACATATTATAAAATAAATAATAATAATAATAATAGAATTGAAGAGAAAAATGATCAAAAAAAATAAATTCATTATAAGATAAAAAAATATTCACTTTGTAAAAAAAAATTTCTAATTAATCATAACATTGTTATTTTAATAACTCAATTAAGAATATTTTTTTAAAGAAATTAGACTAATAATTTAATCTAAAAAATAATTTTATAAATAATGATTATTAACTATCATTTGTAGATAATTATTCATTTTGTTTTAAAAGGTTAATGTTAAAATAATTTATTACAAACAAAATTTTACTAATTATTGACTACAATTACTAACAAAATTTTACAATTGATTAAAATTAATTACAAATTATTGATTTAGTAGCAAATGAATAATGTTGAAAAAATAATATATTTATTAATAAATTAATTAGTTTGAAATTTGTCACAAATGATTGCACTCTTGTAATAATCATTTTCAATCATTTAAGCATGATCAAAACAATATTTGAGATAATGATAAAAAAAAGAAAGATAAATTATTAAAATATTTATTATAAAAATAATTTTAACACCTAAAAATAATTTTTAAAAATATTTAATGTATTCATTAATAAAAAATCAAATGTTGGTAGAAATAAAGAAAAAATAATTAAATAATTGATAATAAATAATTAAAAATTAATTTGAGATATTTTTAATTAAAAAACCAAAAAAAATTGTTAAAATATATATCAAGAAATGTAAATAATACAAAAACAAAAAAGCAAGTGAAAGAAAGAAAAAGTATTTTCCTGTTTTTTAACTCGAAAAATACTTTCTCAAAACTATTATATCATTTTCTATTAACTGAAAATCATTTTTTTGTTGATTTTTGTACTAAATACAAAACAAACATCAAAAAATAAAAAATAAAAAATTTTTCAAACTTATTTTCCTCCAAACAAACACAGCATAAGAGGAAGACACCTCAAGCCTCTCAAAACAGATACGTACCAAATTTAATGACGTGTCTGTTTAAATTTATGCGCCCAGTTAGTTTTGGTTTTAGCAATTACACAGTCCATGACTTATCACCCACATCCCATTCGATGATACTGCACAACCACAACTTTGATACTTGTGTAGGCAGATAAATTTGCAATGAATATGTAAACATTAAAATTCTAACATGAAGGTACCGTAACAAACCTCATGAACAGATTTGCATCGGGCATTGTAATTGCAATGAGGTTTCCTAGCAACTCTTCTAGCAATGCATGTTTATCAAAATTTTGTTTCATTCTTATATTTAGAACTGGAGTCAGAATGGTTCTCGATTATACAAAGCTTTATAATATATTTTAGGGCAAGGACTGACGTAATTCTACCAAATGATGCCCGTACTAGAGAACAAGACCAGCAGCTTAGAGGAGTGAAGGTCTGACAATGGATCTACCAATCCACAAGAGACCATGTATTAGGAGGTGTAACAAAACTGCATTGGGAGGGGGAAGGAAAAAGGAAAAGAGAAGTAAAAAGGTCTCTAGTTGTGCTAAGAAATAAGCGGTGTAACTCTTGCTCTCTATATCAAAGATCACAGTCCATGCTCATCGATGGATGTTTGCTCATGCCTCTCCATGGTCCACGTGGTTAGTGGTGAGATGCCCCCCCACCATAAAAAACATTGACAAGACAGGAAAAAACATCGCAAAGTCATTAGTTTCCATCTCCAAATGACATGTTTCATGAGTAAGCTTATTGCGAGAAAATGCAAACATAGAATTCCCAGAACAGATCAGGTAGACCTAATTTCACATCGGAGCACAGAAGCCTCAAAAATGGATTCACCCAATAGCAACAAGGACCAAACTTAAATAGCAAATTGTCAAAACTTGACATCATAAAGACACCTCTTCACCACAGCATCAACCATGCTTCCAAAAGCCAATGCACATCAAATCCAGAATGAGGATATTACACATGTAAAACCACATTTCACTTAATAACACTCAAACAAATATACAAACAAATTTTATATTTATTTTATATTTAAGACATAAGTGCTGATCTTTTTATTAGACATGGATCACATTGACAAATTATATTATTTTCAATTATATTAAGCTTTTATAACATTCAAGTTAAGCCTTTGCCAAACATGAAAAACCAAAGTCGACAATAAACCATTAATAACTGGAAGACAAGTAACAAGACCAGAACTCAAGAACAAGACCAGCTCCTGGTGGGAGCGAAGGCCAAATATTGAATCTAACAACAATTTTTGGCCTATATAATAAGTTTATAAAACATATTGTTGTTTTATGGAATGAAAAATATATTTTTAATTAACAAAATATGCATTAGGAGACGAGCCAATCTTTATAGGTCCTAAGAAACAGGTTGCTTATTGCATTGATGTTGCTCATTGCTTGTTTCCATAGGGAAAGAAAATTAGAACCGCAACTTCAAATGCTCCCACCACAAAAACTTTGGCAACAAATGAGAAAAGAGCACCAAAGTCATTATTTCCAGCACCATATGACAGGTAGCATGAGCAATAATTTAAATCATCTACCACAGGTTTATGAGATGAAGACATAGACTTTCAAAACAATTCTGCCATATATCTAATCTTCAACATCATGAAATTGACGCCAAGAAAGGGATTTTACCCTATAACACAAGTGGAATCTGATTTGGAGGTCGCAAACTCATATAGCTAATAGTGAAGCATCATAAAGACACATCTTATAAAAACATCAACAAAGAAATTCCAAAAGCCAACGCACACAAAATCCTAAACTTTCAGTCACAGCATACCCCAAAATCACACTAATTTCAAAAGATTGCATAGGATAAAATCACATAGTATTTAGCAATTTTATCTCAAGCAAATTTAAAAAAGTGCATTACATTTTTTTTATTAGCCCTGACCAACTTGTTAAAATTGCATATTGCAAAGAAACTTTTATCCTTTTGCACTGTGCTTCCACTTGATTGTCCTACATGTTCAAATAATCACTGTCCATTGTTCTTAAAAAAATATCATTCCCAGTTTCTTTAACTGAGCAACCCAGAAACCAGAAAAATGCTGCTGGATAAAGTACATGGAAGAACAGGAGAAATTCAGAGAGACAAGAAACATCATAATTAATAATACAGTTTAGTCTAACTGAGGTACCAGATGCATTTTAATGCCATGTACATTTTTTGAAGCGCCCACATCACGTCTAAAATAACCATGTATAAAAGCAGTCTATTTTGAGGCAACAAAAATAAAACTCAGTGACTGAAAATGCATTTTAAACAAAAGAGCCCAGGAAAGGAAGAAAGGTTAAAAGCAATTTACAAAAACAAAGACATCAAATCAATCATGTAAATATGTAATAGCTGAAGATAGTTTTCTCTCTCATAGATAGACATATGCAGAAATAAGGGGTTGTGAACCCTAAGCAAATGACATAAAAAACTCCTTTCACCAATTGAAATCGAAAATTCACGCAATCATAGAAAGGAAAATCCAACAAAGAAAACTCAAATACCAAAAATCTGCTTGAGCAACAAATAGCAAAAACCAGAAGAACAAGGATATTTATAATCTAGATAAGCATAAATTCCAGCATAGCAGAAAAGTTCTACAATCCTTCTGTAAGAGCACTGTTCTACAGATATAGACTAACTTTGTAAAGTTTAAGTAGCATCCATCACAAATCCAACCACAACTTAAGGAAGCAGATGAAGTGAAGCAGCAACAAAAGCACAGCAGTCCACATAATTAAATAAAAGATTTCATTGCTTGCATTCAGGAAATCACGACAACCATTTAAAGCATTTGTTCCCAAGAAGCCCTCATACACCTGAATCAAATACCCATCAATGTCAAACATATAAAATAAAGCTCACACTAGCTAAAGCACAAAATAACAAGCCAAAAACGTTGGGGAAATCCATGAAATGAAAATACAACTAGTCTCTACTGTTTATCTTTTAAAGACTTGAAAAGTCTATTTTATATGCGTGTAGTTATAAATGTTTCTCTATGACCCACTTTCTAAAGACAAAAATGCTGTAACAACACAATCAAATACATTGTGGTGTGACAAGGCTTCTCAACAATTGGAGAGACACAGTGATTAGTCTAAAAATTAACAAAGGCGTTTTCCAAATAAAAAAAAGACACTGTAAAAAAACATAAAACAAAAGAACTTGACACTCAACAAAATCAATTGAAAGTAATAAATAGCAACATTTACCTTCAGAAATATGGCGGCATACCCTGATACATCCCTCCAGCTCCATGGGAGAATCTAGGTGGCAATGGAATTGAAGATGGCTGCTGTTGCTGAGGCATCGCAAAAGACCCAGCATCAGGATATACCCCAGAACCTGAATTCGGCGGCATCCTATACATAGAAGCCCCTGCATTATTCAATCCACCATCATTGGAACCCGCCCCTACATAGGGAGGAACCCTATAAGCACCATTATATCCAGAACCTGTCAATGAAGTATTCAACTGATAGCTATTATTATGACCAGGCCCATAATTTTGTAAATTTCCTGCTACCCCGGAAAATGGAATTTGTGGTTGTGGTTGTGGGAATGGTGGATGCGTCAACGGCTGTGAAGTTTGTGCAATTGCACCACCCTGAAGAGTCTTATTAACCCTTTTATTATCAACAGCTAACTTACAAACAACTTGATGCCCATCAACAATCTTCATAGGATCAGCAATTGCAGCCTTAGCCCCTTCCTCGGTCTTATATATAAGAAAGGCAAAACCCTTTGATTTCCCAGAGGTTTTATCAAACCCAAGCGGGCCTTCTTCAATCTCACCATACATTGAGAAAAACCCTAACAATCTCTCCGAAGTAATCTCAAAAGGCACGTTCCCAACATAAACTTTCCTTAACGAAACATCACTAGTACTGGAATTATTCGATGCTACTTGCGTAACAGTAATCCTTCCATCAATTTTTTTACTAGGTTCTCTAATGGAAAGCATCGCAGAGTCCACGTGTTTGAATGTAATAAACCCAAAACCTTTCGATTTACCTGTATTCTTGTCGTGAATAACAATAGCTTCTTCGAGTTCTCCGAAGGCAGAAAAGAGAAGTCGGAGGGTTTCTGAGGTTGTTTCGGAAGAGAGGCCGCGAATAAAGAGCTTTCTGAGGGAGATGTCGCCGTCCGCTACGGAACGGACAGAGTTAAGGATATCAGAGTGCTGAAGTGTCGCGGATTGGAGGATGTCTAATAGTTGGTCTTTTGTGAATGGTTCAAGTATTTTACGGATTTCTCCGGGCGTTAGTGGGGTGATTGGGGACGGTGGAGTGGTGCCGATGGGGATTGAGCTGCCGTTTTCGTCGGCTTTGCGTTTTTTAATGAAGTCCATGGTGGCTGTGGTGGTGGAGAAGGAGGAGGATTGGTGGTTAGCACGTAATAAACCCTAGAGAGGATGGAATTACGCTGGACAGAGAATAAAACCGGTCTTGTTTTTGTGGCAAACTGAATTTGCTGCACCTTTGCTCGGTGCATTTATATTTGTTGGGACTTGTGATCCAGTTAGCGTTTCACTGCCATGATGTTTTTGTCTTAAGCCTGGGCTTGGTGATCCTTAATGAGTTCTAATTGGGCTGGACTTTCGTGGGAGGCTTGGGCTTAGCTATTTTGATCATTCTTTCATTTATGAGATCGTTAACTGATCAAAATCTAAGGTTGCTGAAATTGATCTTCTAAAATAATGGGATCCGGTTTCCAAATTTTGTGTTTTTTTTTTCTTGCAAAAGAAAGAGGAAAATTCCCATAATCTTTATAATACTGCACAACAAAAGAAAGAGGAAAATTCCCATAAAATGTGTGTGTGTATATATATATATATAGGATTTTATGATTACAATTAAATCAGTTTTACGTGTAAAGACTTGTTGAAGATTTCATAATTCAAATACTACATGAGTGGATATATAGAAATTTAAATATGTCCAATCACTTATGTTATGCTTTTTGACATTCTAGGTGTTTATGATAATTCATTCTTTATGTAGCATGAAACAGCCTCAAAAAATAAAATAATGAAGAGAATAATTTAAATAAATCCAAATAAAATGCTAAATGACTTCTTAAAATCATAAAGTTAAATATGGATAGAAAGAATATAGATTTTCTATACATAAAAATTTAAACCAAAAATAAAATAAAAATCTAGGCCAAAAGATGAAAATTTGAAATAGCCTTTAAAAATACAATACTTATGAGAATAATTTAAATAAATCCAAATAAAATACCGAATGTCTACTTAAAATCATATAGTTAAATATAGATCAAAATAAGAGAGATTTTTTATGCATAAAAATTTAAACCAAAAATAAAATGAAAATATGAATTAAAGAGATGAAAAATTGAAACAACCTCTAAAAATATAATTTTTATGAGAATAGTTTAAATAAATACAAATAAAATACCAAAAAACCTCTTAAAATCATAAAATTAAATATAGATGAAAAGGAGATAGCCTTAAATCATCAAGTGAAATGCCTGTAGAGAATTGTTGAAGACTCCAGCTTGAAATGAAATTTACTTGCGTAAGCTTATGATTGATAGCCATGAGTCTCTGGGCGAACCAAAATTGATCTTAATTATAGTTTTTGCAACTGCAAGACTTTAAGAATAGGAAAAATAGTCTGTAAGAATTGAAATTGTTCTTGTAAAAAATTGGAATGAGACCCCATCTGGGGACTTCATTTTTTTTTTTTTTTTTTTTAAGTTCAGCATGTACAATTATAATAAGCTATACTGCACGCGAAAGCATTTCTGTGGTAATTAAGGGTCACAATCCCTTGATCTGGTTTTTAATAATCAGCCAACATCATATGGCCTGGCCTAAAGAATTAGATTCCTAGAAGATGCCCAGAGATTGCTAAAGGGTCCGTGAAACCTTTAGCTAGGCAAGCTTTTAGAACTTGTGCTGATAACCAAGGACTTGAGCTTAGAAGAGTCCCCTGAAGTAGCATTGGCTCGCCGGGTTATCAACTCCATGTTCTTATATAAACTTTGCTTCACCATGTCCTTCATCAATTTCTTTCCTTCTTGAGCTTCCCAATGATTTGCAGGTGATCCTATTGCAACCCTTGCTGTTTGAGGCCCCGAATGTGGCCCCATCCTTGTTTGCCTCTCATCTTTGAACCATTGCAGCAGTTTTAGTGCTCTCTTTTGAGCTAGAGGACTCCCCAGTAATGCCACTTCAAGAAGTACTGGGACAATCCCAGATTTAACCATTTTATCGCGTTGGGCTGAACTTTGATGAGCTAGAATCATCAAAATATAAGCTGATAATTCTTGACATTTTGGTTTGTCCTCCCATGTCATTATCTCTATCAAGCTCTCTGGCACAAGTGAACCGTTTTCTATTGCCTTCTTCCCCATTAAGGTCACCACTAAATGGCCTAGTGTTGCAAGAGCTTTCTCTGATAGTTCTTTTAGTGATATTACCCTCAAGAGAGTTTGAACTACCCCATTAGAGAGCAAAGGTCCTGCATTGTCTAACACAGCCGACAGGTTGTATAGAGTACCCAAGCATGACTCCTTGGTTTCGTAACTTGAGCTCGACTCAAGAATTCCGATTAGAAATGGCAGAACTTCTGATGAAGCAAGAGGGAATTGTGTATGATTCGCCAGCGAAGATAATGACAGGATTAATTCTGCAAATTCATGTCTTGTTGGTTCTTTTAAAACATCTATGTTCTTTGGTAGCTTTGAGAAGATTCCTGCTTCTACCATGAGAGCCTTGTTCCTGAAGAAAGAAAATAAAAGTACATTAATTAAAATAAAAAAAGCACACTAATCTAGTTGCAGCTAATAATAAACCAAAAGGTTTATCATTATTGCATTTAATTAGGGGGTTAGTAACATGGTAACCATTTTTTTAGGCACACCAAACCAACCAACCAACCAACCAACCAACAAGTATTATCCAAATTACTATCTTTTATAAGAAAGTCAAAGAGATTCTTGGATTTAGATCTGAGTTGAAAGATGTAAGTCAACAAACGAATTTGTTTATTGTTCATAGATCATAGGGAATCTGATCCTTTGCACCAATTCTGATGAGCTGTTACTAATTTGTATCTAAAGACAACATTGTCGATTCAATAACATCATTGCTCCTTTTCTGCTTCCCAATAGTGTAATTAGCGCACTTTGTGCCCCCTAATCCATCCTAATTAATTACTAATTTTCTTTTCTGCTAAAAATATTTAATTATTTTCTTCAAAGGGTATAATAAGATTGGGAAATGGGTTTCCATGGGTGGAAAAGACTGAGACCTAGTTGAGCAATAATAGTAGATATTCATCAAAGAATTGAAAGCTTGATGTGGCACCTAGAGCAATTACACATCCCCATTTTAGGTAAGTGAACAAACACAACCTAGAAGTGGTACTTTGACAATCTCTGACAGCTTGAATCCTAGCTATTCAATTAGGTGTATTGAAAGCCACAAGTCCTCAAATGTGACAAATACACAGCCTAGAGGTGGATAGCTTTCTTTAACAATGAGGGTCCCTTCGTTACTCCATTTGGTGAAAACTGAGAGTATTATCAGAGGAAAAATAGAGAAAGAATCTCGGATGCAAACTCTAAAATCCAAACCCATGTCCGGTAAGACCAACCACCATGTGACTCCTCTGTCCTCTTTATTCCTTCCAAGTCAAATACTGCCAGTGGCCAAATTTCAATTCTTTAAAGTATAAATCAACCATATGGATATTGGGTGCCGACTTTTATAGACGACTTTGTTATTAATAAATTTGATATGGCCCCCCTATTTCCCACCCTAACTCAAATAATGAAATAACTGTGAATCATACCCAAAAAATCTAGATGGTGCCAAAAAACCCAACTTCATTTTTTCAAATTACGTTGAAAAAAACATCCGATTTACAGAAGCTATTTGGTGCAAACTGTGTCTGCTTCTTCAAGTTGGCATGGAAGGTCAGCCGCACACCTAAGGTGCTTAATGTACTGTGACAATTTTTTTATTTTTTATTTTTATTTGTTGATAATTAGAAAGCAATATTTGACCGATTAAAATAAGAGGAGCTAGCCTCGTTTATCTGAAGTGCTAGTGGGGTTTGACCTATCGATAAACGCCGAATGGTTTTATCAACTATGCAGGTTTAGGCAAATTCTACAATGCCTACCAAAGCCATTATCTTTTGCATTTAATTTTTTCATAACAGTTACAGAATTCTACAAAATTTCTCGGGAAGTTTCCTAAAAAAAATGAAAATTTTCGAAATAACTCAATTAAATGTCTGATTGGAAGTGATTATGGGCTATAATTGAATTTCATTATTAGTTTTTTTTTTTTTTTTTTGGGAGGGGGGTTGTTAAAGCTCATAACTAGTATTTAAGGCTTGAATAAATATGATCATTATGGTCCCGACCATCTAATCCACAGAAAAAGCTATGCCTTTTTATAACCCAAAAAAAAAAAAAAAAGGGCCGTAGAAGGACCCCTGTGATTTAATAGTACCGTAATCTACTGTGCATGATCTTGCATAAGTCAGCACAAAATTGAAAATCAAATTAACTAAAAACCAATTACATCAAATTAGAAAAAGGAAAAAAGAAAACTTACGTGTAAATTCCATTAGCAAGCTCAATCAAAGCCTTAACAGCCACTGTCTGACGGCCAGCTGCTTCCGAAGCCGCCATCCCCACCAAGGCAGGAATAACACCAAGCTCTGCCATCAACTTTCTCATCTTAACATCTTCTCTAGCTAATCTTTCAATCTCAAGAGCTGCCATCTCCTTCTCTTCCCAGCTTCCGAAGTGAAGTCTCTTCACTGATCTTTGGAGCACCACAGAATCATCATCATCACTATTGATTTGTGTATCCAGTACAGTAGTTACTTGTTCTTCTTTATTGATAACCGTAACTTTGGTTCTTGATTTAACACCCTTTTGTGTCGTCTTAGTTTGCAAGAACCTCCTGACACGAGCAAAGAATTGAAGTTTCAAGTAAGAAAGTGCACGAGTAGAAGAGGAAGAAGGAGAAGGAGGCGGTTCAGGCATGCTTGGTCTTTGTGTTTGAGACCTGAAAGAAAATCAAAACCTTGTTTTCTGGCCTTTTCTATTTGTATAAAACTGTGTATGAAACTTGACTTTTGAAAGAGTGAAAGAGAGAAAATATATATATGGAGCAGAACTGTACAACGAGAGGGAAGGTGAGAGAGATTCTGTGAGGGAAAATTACAGGAAAAGCAGAGGGCAAATGAAGAGGGAACAGTGTTGTTTCTTCAAACTCACAAGTCACAAGCCACAAACTGTAGGAGATATTTATACTAACATAAATTAAATATGTTAAAGTATATAATGGCAGCAAAAATAAATTTGATATACATATTTGGTTATAATTAATTAAGGATTCAAATAATTGAGCTTGACCTAGTATTTATATAAAAAAATTAAAACTTTTTTTTTATCTAATTTCATCCATCATAAATATATCTAATCTATCACTATAGTCCAATAGATCCTACTGGTTTAATTATCAGTTTTATGAAAAAAAATTATACTTATTCTATTATAATTTGACAATTTTAAATTTTTATTATCAATTCGTGTAATTTAAATATCAAAATATCGATTTTTAAGAATATCTTATTCATATTCGTTAATTGTAACGATCAATTTAGTTAACTATTAATTTTTCTTTCCGCTGCTTTTTTTTACAAAAAAAAGTTTAAAATGTTTTTTCTCCATTTTTCAAGAGATATATTTTTTTTCACCCATTTACCTATAAATAAATAAAAAATTTTCATTAAATTTATCATTAATTTTTTTTTTTTGGTTTTTCTTGAAAAAGAGCTTTCACTTTTTGAACATATCTTTAAAAAAAATAAAAATAAAATAAAATTAGAAAAGTTTAAAAAATATTTTTCAAACTCTAACAATTTTAAATGCATATTATATATTTGAATCAATTGTGAGAAAAAAATCTTATAAAACATGTGAAGATAAAAAAAAAAAAATACAGCTATATTTAAAATTTAATGATTGAAAATCATAAGAATAAATTTATTAGCATTACGAAAGAAAAGTTTCAGTTAAAATTAATTATTTGATAACTTCAATTGATCAAATTCAACCAATAGATATTTTTATTTTATTAGTTATAAAAATTGATTGTTTTAAATGGATAATGATACTACATAAAAGTTATTTTCAAAAATTGTATATAAATAACAATTTGATTGATTATGAAATATCAAAATGATTAATATGTGAAAATTTTAAATGGAAAAAATTTCTCTTGAAAAATTGAGAAAAATATTTTTTAAAAAAATTAACAACAAAAAAAAACTAAAAAAAAATTAACGGTCGGTTGGATTGTACTGTTACAATTAACAGATTTGAATAAGATTTGTCTAAAAATCGATATTTTGGGATTCAAATTAAACAAATTGATAATAAAAATTTAAAATTAATAAATTACAATAAAACATAGGCAATTTTTTCCATTAAACCTTTAATTATCACTTATAATTTTATTCAAATAAAATATATAATAACTTATAGTTACATGATATTTTTGTCATTTTATGAGATATTTCTTACAATTCAAGGCACAATAACAAGATCACTTGCATACCCATAAATGTACATGTGTTTTGGGGTTTAATTATTAATTATACAGTAAGCCATCTGACAAGGGATTAATTAGGGATGCATGTGGTTTAACAATATAAATATTTGTCTAAAAAATTAGGGATACAGATGAACTGGGGTGTTAGTGGGATACATTGTGATTTTGTCACCTAACCCATCTTGGAGAACCTTCCTAGAGGTTACAAATCATCAGACGGCTTAGACCCTTCGTTGACTCTTTATATTGAAAGCTGCACCATGTTGGCTTTTCTATTCAATAATGGATGTGTGGGGTTTTTTTTTTTTTTCCTGCTAGTAGATGTATTTTGTACATCTTTTTCTAAGAATTTTAAAAACTGGACAGAGCATATTTAGAGGAATTTATAAAAAAAAAAAAAAATTTGAATATTAACTCCAAGTTTCAGATCCAAAACATCAACTAATAAAACAAATCCAATAGCACAAACCCATGAATATAATAATGTGTTATTTAAAAGATGATAATACTTTGAATATTCTCTTTTCATATTAGAAAGAAGAGTAATTATATTTAGAGTGAGAATAATGCAATTTAACTTTTTTTAATAAGTAAAATTCAAACTTTATATATTTATCGATATAAAAATTCGGTTGATGACTAACTTAGATATTCCTATACTAAGAATTTGCAGGTAAAGGTAATTAAACTTTAGCTAATTGTTAAATAAATCTTTGAATCTATGTGAGCTAAATTAATGGCATGTGGGTTTCGGGCAGCATCAGCCGCTCTGCTCCCTAATTATGGGATGCTATCCTGCCATATGGTTTGTTCTTCTTTAACACTTGTCATCCATGCAGTGAGATGGGGCTGTTAGTCTATTAAATTTTTAAGAGAGAATCTTCTTTTTCATAAATAAAAAGATCTGCATCCATGCTCTGATCTGATATTCCCACATGGATGGATGATTGGATAATTTAATTTCTATGAGAAATTGGGTGAATTAGCATTAATTAATGAAATTTCATTTCAACTGTTTGGTGGTTTCATATCCTTCTGAAACCACACATTATATGACAGCGTATAGCCTATAAGCTTTCAAGGTTAGCTGGGTTGTGACTTGTGTCTAATGAGGATTGTTTCTCTCCTCCCAAGATGATTAATTATTTTAGTATGATAAAAGACTCTTTTAAGTTTTTCTTTTTTTTCATGTGTATCGTAGATTTTACTATATTTCTAGCTTCCTACTTATAAATTTGATAATAGATTCGTAGCTAATGAAATCCCATTCTTGTTGAAAAAAAAAATTATATATATATATATATATCCTATTTCGTAATCAATCTTATAATTAGAGATTTGTGGTTGGAACAAAGGAAAACCAACGAACATGGAAAATTTTATTGTCTGTACAGAGTGGACAGTTTGGCAACCTGCCTATATGTCCTTTCTTCCTGAAACATTGTGGCAACAGAAATGTTAGGTTTTGCAATAGATTTTCTACTGATTTAATTGTCAAGTCTCGAAATGCTAGCTCTATTATTGTGTTCAGAAATAAAAAGATAATTGGGTTTGATCTGTTGTTCACATGGCTTGATTCCACGACCAATAATTAATGATCTGAAGTTTTTCTTGTTTTCTAGCACCATTTCAGTTTTGCTTCTTCTTTAAATAAAAAATAATTGTAAATGTTAACCACGCATCTGGTCTTCAAAAAATTGTATTAACATCAAATGACAGAAGAAAAACTTCATTCGTTTCATAGTTTTGGAAATAGAGAATCGTAGTAGTGATTGCAAGGTTGAAAAGCAAGAATTTGAAGCGTAAAGGAAGCGAAGCTTAACTTTGACAGAATAAAAAAAAAAAAAATTACGTACCTTAAGTATTCAGGCGTCAAACCAAATTCAGGTCTTCCACTTTCTCCATTACCATGTTGTGATGATGAATTGATGGGTAGTCAGTCTAGCATTAATTACTAATTAGTCGAAAATTGAGACCTTAGTTTCTGTTTTTTCTTTTTAATTAATTAATTACACACAGGCGTCCAAAATCTACAAATCCGCTGATTTAATTTCAAACTCAAAAGAATCATTATGTTAATTATCTTGATGGATAACCATTGAACACCACACCTTCATCCTCTATCCATCCTTGTTTAATGGTGTATTATTACGTGGATTACTGGATTAATTCACATTATCATCTTATCTGCTAGCCTTTTGGTGCAATCATTTTTTTTTCGTAACAAAAATTATAAATCATACAACAAATCAATCACTCAACTTTTTTTATTATTATTATCAAAGAAAACAAACTTTCAAGTTTCAAATTTGTCTAACAAATTTCCAAATCAATACAACTAATATATTTGGAGGCAAAACTCCTAAATTTACTTATGTGTTTGTGTTAATAATTCATTTATAACCATATGTTTTTAATTTGATCAGTCAAACCTTATGTTCTTCGAATTTATTCAATTAACACGTGTTCTCTAATTTTTTCCAATTAACCCAATAACTAACTTCTTGAATGAATATTTGATCTTATTTAAATATTATTATGGGTTTTTTTTACATATATATAGTTTTCTATAAGACAAGAGTCATGTCTATACACAACCTATGTCTATTTACAAGAGTCGTGTCTATTCGTCAAGAGTTGTAATGTAATAGAGTTGTGTCTATTAATCAAGAGTTGTAATAAATATACACGTATATTGATCACAAAAAGTGTGTGTTGTCTATATAAATGGGTCTTTATTTAATAAAAATTAATTTCAATCAAAGACTTTGTTAAATATAATTAAACATAAAACTCTTGTTTTATTAGTAAAAGTCATACGTGATTCCTAGTCTAAAAGCACGCAGAAAACCTATTGAAGATTTATCGGGGCCTACAATGGTATTAGAGTCTAGGTTTTCATATATAGTTTTTCATGTTCAAGGTTAATAACGTGTCTTTTAAATCCTATAAGATTTTCTATCACTTATTTCTATTTATCACTCAATTTGTTTTAACTATGGCATCAAAATAAAAGTCTAGTGATTCTTTCAAGATTGAAAAACCAAATGGAATTAATTATTCTATTTGAAAAAGAAGATTTTCTTATGTCTTGATATATAATAAAATATTTTATGTAATTGGCACTAACAAACCTATGGAGATTGATGATTTACACCCCCCTCCAAAAAAAAAAAAAACTACAAAAATAGAAAAGAGGTTAGTGAACTTTAAAGATTGTTCTTTTGAGTCACATTGCAAATGATTTAATTCATTTATTTAAAAATTTGAAGACTAGCAAGAAAATTCTCTCTATTATAGAACAAATTAGTTTGGTGGAAAGTTCAATACTTATGCTCAACTTTTACTTGAAAAATTCAGTGACATGACTATATCAAAGGATGTTATTATTGTGGATCATGTCAATCACATGGCTCTTATTGATAAA